CGTTGTGGAATCCTGGGAAAGGACTCAAGAATTCCAAATTTCTATGAACCACACTTAGAGAATGGCTGCACAAAGGGTTAATATTCCCCAAGGCCCATAATAGACAGTCAACTCAACTTCCTTTAGCTTGTACTCTGAGCTATCCTGAAATGTCTGAATTATTTATGGAATGTTTATACTTCAAACTACACATATATAACATATAATTTCATTCAAAATTAAATTAGTAGCAAGGAGTACTTGGAAGCATTTTAGTACAGCATTCTCAAAATATACTCTCAGAATTGAAATGGGCCAAATATTAGAAGAAAAGAGGTAAAAGCTTTCCAGAAAGGAACTTTCCAGCTTTGCATTTGGGCTTTGGAACTGGAGTTATCTTCCTTCCTCCTTTTCTAATTTTTAAAAAATAAACATGCACACAAAAAGTAATCCTTAAGGCAATGAGTTATATATTATAGTTTCTATGCCTATCTGTTCTTTTTATTGCACAGAATATGGATTCAATGGAAAAGTCTCTGATATGGGGAAATATTTTTGATCTTTTATAATTCATAAGAGAAATACAAGACGTAATGACTTCGTCAAAAGAGCAAAACAGAATGCTTAAATTGAAAAACTCATGTATATACACACAGTTATTGCAGAACGTTTACTCAGGTACGCACATACAAAAACTGCTACTGGCATTTCTTCTTCTATTGCTGTTGAAAGAGTTCTTAACTTCACTAGGAACGAATGTAACAGAAACCAAGATCTTTTTGTAAGCTGTAAAATCTCCTGCAGTGATACTGATATAAACCGAAATATAACTTTTGCAGAAAGGTGAGAAAAAACAATTCTCTCTCTCTGTTTTTGCATGTTCCTAATGTGACTGTAGCATGTGAAAAATAATATTGCTAAAATACTGCTAAGAGATTAAAAGTGAAATTTAAATCACTCATTTAAATAGAAAAAGTACTTTATACATTTAACATCTCTACTTGAAGGAAACTCTAAAGAGAGTATTTTAAAAAAAAGTATGTGTTCATGATCTTTGAGTCTAAGAGAATTCAAACTGTAAGCAACATATTTATGTTCATGTCTCTAGAAATAACTGCTAATATTTCTTTGATACCATCCCCAGTGAAATGCCCACTAACTTTAACTTGATTTCAGATATTCCATTTTTAGCTCAAAAAATAATTCACTGAGAATAGACATACAAACAGAAAGCAGATTAGTCATTGTATGGGGTTGGAAAGGAGAAGGAGTATAATAGTAAGGGATATGCAGAATCTGGAAATGAGTGAAAAATGGACAGAAATAGTCTAAAACTAATTTATAGTAATGGTTGCACCACTTGGTAAATTTACTAAAAAATAATTGTATAGTTGAAATGGGTGAATTATATGGTATATAAAAATGATTTTGTTTCATCTTTAGGAAAATATCCTTTCCTTGCCTGATTATTTAGGCATTTTTCCTTCATCTGGAATTTTAATATTCAGGATATAAGGTGCTTAAATAAATAGGAAACCTATTCAGCTGTTATTGATAATAATACTTGTTAACATTTATTGTGTTTTTTATTTGCCATAAACTCTGGTAAGGAATCTACTTTTCATTAGGTTATTTATTGCTCCTAGTAACACTAAGAAATACATATTGATATCTCTTCCGTTGTACCAATGAGATAATTAAAACACATGGAAATTTTCTTCCTGAATGTGTTATAAGATTTCTGCAGTCATCAGTTACCAATAGTCATTTTCACATTAAGATTCCAAAGCTATATGTACTATTTTTTTAAACTCTCTGAAGTGTGTAAACATAAAATAAAAAGAAACAAAAATCACTCAGATAATAGAGTTAAAGCTTTTAAGTGGAATCACAAAATTGGAGTGCGTATTTATTTGTTCATTTACACATCATTACACATCAAAAGTTAGTTTTAGGTAAAATCAACAGAAAGTCTGCCCTCTAGAACCCTATAATTTACTTTAAAGAAGGCAACTGTCTAAAGTGTAATAAAATAGGTTTATTAAAGTTTAGATGCAATAAAGAGGGATGTAGATAAGTGAGTGAGATTAGAAGTTCTGAGAAGGATAAATAAATGTGTTCTGACATTTTAACAATCTTCTGGTAGGATAGTAAAAAGAGGTAAAGCACAGAACATTTGGAGGTGATGGAGGCAGAATGGCATGAGAACACACTTGGGTTTAAGAACACGAGGTACAATCTGAAAGGCAGTGAGGAAACTGGCTTCTCTACAGCAGGTATCAGATTGCATAGTTCTACTGGGGAAAAATGTGAACATCAAGTGTCATATCATTTTTGATTCAAGTCCCCATTTTTTCACACTTAACTAACATGTCAGGATACAGTTTTATTTATGCATTTGTTCAATGTATATTCAAACATCTGCATGAGTAACATTTCAAGTCTGCCCTTGCCTGTGACACCTGTCTAATTTATGAGGCTGAAGCAAGTTAAGATGCCTTTTTAACAAGGTTATGAAAGGACACACAAATAATTTTTTGAATTTAGTAATAATCCTCCCATATAGATTCATGCTTAAAAATGTTTAGACCCTGATATAGTGTCTTTTAAGAATTTTAAACGAAAGAAAACAAAATAATCTAAGATACCTTCTAGAAAAGATGTTTTCCGTTATGATTTTAGGCCAAATACATTATTTAAACTGTCCATATCATAATTACTAATTACTGGCCTTATTTAATGTGCTGTCATTAGCATGACAGTGAAAGTTCATTATAAAGCAGCTTAAGTGGACATGGCCATCCCATCTCGGGAGCTTACAAGATTGAACCCGATTTCTTCTAACCAAGAGTCAAAAGCATTTATTTCGGACAAGTGCAAATGTCATACATTTAACAGTCCAAATACAAGCAAGGAACTTGCCTCCATGGAGAATGACCCACAGCTCTTCCAGCTAACTGAGAATTCTTACTTGAGAAACCACCAGGAGGGCTTCCACAAATGACGGACTCAGGGTGCTTAAAGCAATTTTACTTGCAGATTTGTCACTTTATACACTCATCCCATATAATTCAGTAGCTCCAGAGGATCCATTATAACTATTTTTTGCAATAATTATAAGATTAAGGGCTTATTTTGGGAGCCGTTAATAATATCAATGAAAAGATCAAAACAATTTCAATGAAAATCATATAGAGATCAAAGAGCTAGTGAAGTTAATGCTTCTGCTACATTTTCAATGAAAACCTAATCACAGAAAAGCAGATTCTCTTCCTAAATCCACACCCCAAATTAATTCTATGCTTGGTGGTCTGACAGAAACAAAATCATAATTTAGTCTTGGTGTCCATTCCGCACTACTCACAGAAAACCAAGCTGAAAGACCAGTGCAACACCTACACGCAATGAAATGATTAGACTTCTTTTAGGCATAACATCAGAGAATGAAACCACAGTTGGAGGTATGTCAAATATATAACAATGAGAGAGACACACAAGAACCAAATGCAAACAAACTTAGATTAAATGGAAACCCTATTTTAAAAATCTTATTTCTCATTAACGCTCACCTTACCATGAGTGGGCATTTTAGAAATAGACAAACAAAAGCACTCAGATTTGCCCAGAGAGACCATTATCTTTCAAGTAAACCTCAGATGCTTCAATCATCAAAAACCTGGCATATTATAATTTCTTTTAATAATTTATACAGCAGTAATTTATAAAAATAAAATACTATCAATTTATTAAGCACATGAAAGCATACATAACAGAATTTTAACTGTCAAGAAGACAAAAGGTTAAAGATAAGGCAGGATTTCTTTAAGCACAAGAAAGATAATCCTTGAAATCTACTGTTTTTGCTCTCATACTCAATTTGTTTACAGTTATGCATCCCTTAATGATGGAGGTATGTTCTGAGAAACGGGTCGGGTGATTTTGTCATTGTGTAACCATCATAGAGCACACTTTCGCGAACCCAGATGGTATAGACGACTCCACACCTAGGCTATATGGTACTAATCTTACAGGATCACTATCATATATGCAATCCAACACTAAACGAAACGTCATTATGCAGCACACGACTGTATTTTTACATATGCTATGATTACCCCCATATTTTAAGAAATACTTAAACAATAGAAAGAAGTGCCTAAATAGAAATCCTAATGAAAAAACAAATTCACTAAATAAATCATTTATTAATTATTTAAAAATTACTTTGTGAGCAAGTAGTTAGAAAGTATGAAGGCTTATAGTAAATGAATGACTTCACCACTGATTTCTGAGAAATCATAGTAATAGTGGACAAACATTTAAGAGATATTTAGTATTTAGCTAATTTATCAACAAATTTTAATATAATTTAAAACTTCTATGGGATGAATTCCTATTAACCAGTCTTTTTAGAATTGAAGATCTTCTTTTTTGTTACCCAGTGATATTATATGGTACCTTAATTTATATTATTTTAATATGGTAGTATTTTAGATAGTTTAAATGCATTAAATGAATTAATTTATATACTAGATATCAAAGGAATACTTTTTTTGATTGTTTTCCAAGGCCAAATAACCATTAATCAAGTTTTTTACTATATTTTGATTAATGGTTATAAAATTTCCTATTAATTTTATTCTCTTTTTCCGACACTGATAGAAAGTAATTGTTAGTATTAAAACAATTTTTCTGTAATTTGGGGGGAAAATTACAAAATTTTGTTTGTGAAAAGTAAATTGAGTTTCTCATTTAATGAACTCAGTTCTAGAGAACATAGAGTAAACCACAAAACTTAATAAATAATCTAAGAAATTTTAGTAATTTCCAAATGCCATTTGCAATTTCTAGTACTAGCATTTTAGTGATATGGAGAATAGTTTGAAATGGAAAAAGTAGTTCCAATTATCATAAAACACCCAATACTATTTATGTTCTTACTTATGCTCAACATGTCACACAGACATATGTTGAGAGTTTATATGAAATTCGCAAAGAAAAGAATATTAGAAGTATCATACCTTTGAGACATAATCTTATAGGCATCTGGCAGATAGCATCGTATATTCTCCATCTGAGCAGGGTCAGAGTCACAAATTTTGTCATCAGTCCTCCCATAGTTGGCACTTTCAATCATGATGACATCTGTTCCTGGACAGCGGAGTTCTATAGGGTAGCTCTCACAGGAGAGTTCTCTGCGGACCACAGCCATCGGAATTGGGGCACGGCTGAAAGCTAACAGAAGGAGGAGGAAGGAAAATAAGTCTTTATTACATACAAAGGAAAAGTACCTTTGCTTGCTTTTCCAGTGTTTGCGGTAAACTAATACCAAGGAATAAAGCAGTTGCAATTCATAATTTTAACTAAAATAGAATACATTTCGCTTTAGTAACTCTACTGGATTTTTTAAAAATCTAACAATAACAATTATTTCTTAAAAACCATGTCTAGCATAGTTTTTTTTTTTTTCTTATAACTGTAAAACAACTACTCTGAATTTTCTAAAAATGTGGCCAGTTTATGAGGTACAGACTAAACAGAGTATCATCCAATTTGTAGAGTAAGATTTTCAGATAAACCTTGGGGGTAACGTGTGTCTGTTTTGTTTTGTTGTTTATTTATGGAAACGATTACCAAAAAACTGCACGGTTCATGAGTTTATGTATACTTATTTAAATACTCTATTTCAATTCTATAACAGTTTGTTCCAAATAATAACATAATGAGCATGTTTATGAGTTTGTTATAAATATAATGTATATTCTTTATCTAGGAACATAGAAATTTGTGCGGAGAAAAATGAAATTTTCCTTCAGTTCCCTACTCCTACCTTTACCCCACGGTCAAGAGCTAATCTGTTAACAACGTGGTGACCTTCCTCTTAGAAGTTTCTACAGAAAAACAAATAGACATTATAGCCCTCTTTGTATTTTCCTCAATAAGTTTTCCTCAGGTAGAGTCACACTATACACACTGCTGATATCTTGATTTATTTTACTCGTTAATTTAACAACATGTAGGGGAAATCTTTTCATTTCTATACTGTAAACCTCATTTTTAATGGCTGCATTGTATAGACATATAACACATTATTTAATTGGTCTTATGTTGATGTGCATTTAGGAACTTCACAGTATTTTTGTGTCACAATACTGCAGGGAAGTACAAACATATCTGTGTACATTGTTGTAAAATTTTAGAAAAGATATAATTATCCAAATATATTTTATGGTATATTTCTATAAGTGAAATTGATGGATCAAGGGGGAAACATATTTCAATTTGGCAAATATCAACTACTAGATATCCAAGAAACTTAAAAAAATGTACATTTCCACCAGAAGTACTTTTCCTTTCAAAACTAAATATTATCAATTCCTTTAAATTTTGCCAATGTGATTGGCAAAGAATGACTTAATATTCTTATTTTAAATTGCACTATTTTTTTGTACAATGGAATACATTCTAATATGTTTACTGGCCATTCTTTTTTCTTTTATTTGTAATTGCTTCCTCAAATTTATGCATAATTTGCTATTGTGGAAGCTCTTTGTATAGCAAGAAAGTCGAAAACTTGTCCTTTATATACGTGGGAAGTATGTTTTTCTAGTTTGTTATTTGGTTGTGGATGTTTGCTAAACGTACATCTTTCATTTTTATACAGAAAGCTATCTTTTCATGTCAAGCTTAGCAGTTTTCCCACTACAAGATTGTGAACATAATCAGTACATTATTGGAAGAAAGTCAAATGTTTAATTATAAAAACTCAACAAGTCTTCTTTTAAAAGCATATAATTGAAATTCTAAATTTATTGTTTACCAACCATCTAATAAGTTGATTTCCACACAAGAGAATTAATTACGGAGATACATACATGACAATTATAAATTTGCATTGATGGTTGATTAGCTCACATAATACGCACACATATTTAAATAAATATATGCAACTTTTCTCGTGGGTTTTTTACTAAGCATGAAATGTGAAAGGAAAAGAAGGGGGGAGAGAAGCATGGAAGTAAAAAAAGAGAAGGGGTAGGGAAAGAGAGAAATTTTATTACCCTAATTATTTTCACTCGAAACTTAGAGAAAATATTCATTTGGGTTGTGAAACCGTAATTATTATTTCAAAACTGAGAACGACATTAGTTTTTACCTCATCTCTATAATATTTTGAAAAACTATAACTGTATCCTAGACCCCAGGCGTTCTGAGAAGGTGACTTAAAGTTCTCAAGCTGCACTGCACAGTAATTCCATGCTGATTGCCATTCAACATCCTCTTCGTTTCCCTCTCTCTCTCTCTCTCACACACACACACACACACACACACACAGAAGAATTGAGCAAATCCACAGCATTGATCAAAGAGACCTAACATAATTAGAGGTAAGTTATAACACTATTTTCAAGATTTGATCTTGAGTCAACATTTTGGCAAGGTATTCTCACGACAGAGTGACACTGAATTTCTGAAATGTGCATTTGTATTGTTCCTAAAATAAAATACCTTTGTTTATTTATCATTCAGAAATTAGATGGTTATTTAAACATGAAGTCATTTTTAATACTGAGATTCTATTTTCATGGATAAAGGTATTTTCACTTATGCATTTCTTATTTTAAGTAATAGAATCCTTGAATAATAAAAATGTTCCAATTTAGGAAACCAGTTTCTTGATTTCAGTCAGTTAAAATGGAATCATAGAGGGGTGTTTTCGTTGTTGTTTTTTAAACAAAAGGTCCTTGAAATCAGAATTTTCTGTAATGTTTTACAGTAAATTTTTGAGCATTTTCTAAGAGAAAATTTGTTTCTTAACTTTGCTATAACCATTTTAAAAAATCACATTGAAACTGTTTCCAAATATTGAATTGATCTGGCTATATTTTGTTAACCAATTAAGTTAAAAAACAAGTTAATTAAACAAAGAAACAAAACAAATAAGCAAATATAGAGTCAAAGCATTTGTTTGACTAAGTGGACAATTTGATTGATTAAACTCATCAGTCAATTTTGTCAAAACATGTATACATAGACATAGCTTTAATCTGGGTCTTAACTGTCAAAAATATGACTTAGAACCAGATATTAGACAGTTGCAAAAGCAACTAAAATGTAGAGCCTCAAATTTTACATGTATCTCGTTTAGCCCTATAAGAATTATCCTAAAGTTATGGTTATGGCAATTTTTACAGAAAACTAAAGTTGATTTGTGGAGACTTTCTTCCATTTAACATATAATTGCATTTGTATCAGTAACTCAGTGTTAAATTACACTCCTAAATGATGGATGCTTTGTTTAAAGAAACATATTACTGAAAACTACTCTGCAACATTATCTAATTAGCTATTTAAATTACTTTCAATTACATTACTAAATGCTTTAATCAGCAACCAAAGTCCAATGGAAAAAATATGCTTAAGTTATAGTAAAGTTTTTGTTTGTTTGTATTTTTTACCACTCAGTTATCATGCTAACAATGGAGAGACTTTGTTACTAGAGAAGAAGACTAAGACATGGAAAATGTCAACAATTCAAATGTAGGATAGTCAACGAAATCGTCTATTGTATGTTGTATCAAGGTAATATTGCATTGGGCATTGTGAAGTGGCTATGGAAAAATAATTTGGGGGAAAGAAGAAATATTCTTCAATTCCTTTTAACTTTAACCCCATGAGGTAATTTGTCATAACAAGGAACAGAGTGTCACCTATTAGTGTGTAAGAGATATTAGCTGAATAAATTGAAAAAGCTTTGGATGTAAGATCTGGTAACCTTTGGGTAGGATGCTACACTTTGGCACTCCCCACTGACCATGGGACTAAGGGGACAGGAATGAAACTGAGCTCTGCTTAAGACAACCAGAACCTGTGGAAATGCCCCAGTTCCATGTCAAACACATGCCTAATGAAAAGTGCTCGTGACGAGGGATTAAATAACAGGAGAAATAGCTCCCTGTTCTTGCTCACTTGTTTCAGCACAACTCACTCTCTTTTCTCCTTTTCCAAGACTTCAACCACCCTGTTGTTGAGACTTCTTATTTTTTGTTCTCTTTCCTTGGGGTCTGTCTCCTACTGTTAAGCCTGCTTGATGACATTTGGCTCAAAATGCTGTAAGTCCTTGGTGAATTGTGCATGATGACAACTAAAGATACCAATCCAGGGATGGGAGGAGCAGGAGGCTAAATGCTGGTGACCAAACAGGAGTCAAATGATTCCTTGTGGATGCCAAGGATGGGGTCAGAGACTTGCTAGGATAACTCAAGGACATTAGAGGGGAGCTTTCAAAGAAGGGAGTGCTACTTGAGACATAGGATTTTAGGACAAAGGATATCAGAAAAGAATAAATAAAGGACTAAACATAGACAAGAGGCAAGCAGCCAATTAGTTGGTTGAGGGCATAACCCAGAATAATTAATTGTTTTAAACATGTTGAATTTAAGGCACCAAGATAACACTCGGAAATGTTCAATTATCAGTTAGATTCAAGAGACTAGAATTTAGGAGTAGAATATAGGCTAAAAGCATGGTAGTGATGTGAAGCAGCTCAGGGAGTACCTGTAGAGTAGAAAAGGATGAATGCAGAAGTTGGAATACCAGTGGTCAGTGAAGACATGTTGGAGGAGCATGCTGCTTAGTCACTGGATGTATACAACACAGACGAGGGCACTGTGTATTTATTAAAGAAAGATTCTGACTCAACAGACTAACCTGCCTGCCACTGCTCAGAGGGGAGGGAACTTAAATAGCTACAGGACAGATGAATCTAGCACTTTATATATCTCTCTCCCTAGGCCATACCTTCAATGCCCTATTCAAATCTGTTTTTTCCATGGATTGTTCTACATACTCAAGGATCTACTCAAAAAAGAATGGCTGCAGCGCAATCTCCATTTAGCAGAGACTGAAATCTTCAGCCTGCCCTATATGTTCGTTTGTTGTAAATACAAAAACATTAGTAAAACAGCTTACATTTGTATTTATTTTCCATTTCCTACCTTTATACTTTATTTACCCCAAATCTTGTGTACTTAAATAAAATTAAATCTACTAGAGAATTTTTTTTTTTAACGCGTGGGTAAGGAAAGGCAAATAGAAGGCTATTTTGTAGCAGTAAAGAAAAGATGGTTGCTTTAAACGGTTAATGACAGAGTACTTATTTGATATATGTTTAGGAACAAAAAATTACGTGATTTGATGACTGGCTGAACACGAAGGGTAAAAGAGAGGGTGAC